AATGGATAAACAACAGACAATAGGACAATGAGTAACTTAATATAGAGTAATGAACAACAATAGTTAGGAAAATGAACAACTTGTGTTAGCATGAAGATAACACTTTAAATGAAATTAACTAAAAGAGACAAACAACGAATACTAGGGCAATGACCAATAGTACATGAAAAGAAATGAATAACTAATGTTAGCATGATGATAATACTTTAAATGAAATCAACTGAAAGTAATAGATAAACAGCAAACAATAAGGCAACCATCAACTTAATGTAGAGCAATAAATAACATTATATAGGGAAACAAATAACTCGTATTAGCATGATGACAACACTTATAATGAAATTAATTGAAAGTAATGGACAAACAATATATAATAGGGCAATGAACAACTTAATGTAGGGTAATGAGCAACAGACAATAAGAAAATGAACAACTTATTTTTGCGTCTTTTGGATATGTTTTTTGGAGAGAGTTAATTTTGTCATTTTTCTCAATGTTTTTGGAGTTTATGAGATTTTCTTTTTTATTAACTATAGTCAAGACGTATTTATTGAAAATTTCCCTCCAAAAAAAGTCTACTGAAGGATATCATTGTCGCCTAGAGTAATGATAAGAGTTGTTCAATTAACAAAAAAATGATTATATTACAATATAATATAGCACGTGCGAGACAGATTATATAATATTACGTTTGGCTCAGTTAATTAGTATTCAAATATATAAATTCCCTAATTTAAACTGCAATCAAGAATAAATATTACGTTTTTACTTCATTTAATTAGTGTTATGTACAAAATTATATAGTGATGACGAAGTCACTTCAGAATCACGACGTGCTTTTCTTATGTGCACGTCATTCTTATTTTTTCCTTTTGCTTTACCCAATGACAAGAGCCAAGTTAGGGTGAAGTGAAGTGATAACTTACTTTATTTGATGAACATAGAAGCCAAAATTAATTATCTTAATCAATTGGAGTCGAGAGATTAATGAATGAGTAATTAACAAAGATCCGTTCACTGGTTCCCAGACAAATTGTTAAATTTGGGTGTGTTCATGGGCACGTGCATGTGTGACCTAGCGTTACATTAGACACTCAATTATAGAGCAACAACACAAAAGTCCAAAGCTAAGGCAATTTATTGGTTCGAGCTATCTAGCTAGTTATTGACCAACTGATTCTGCATATTCCGCACAGATCAGAGTTAGTTACGTTTGGGGAATTATATCATCAGCTTGCGAACTCAACTGTTGAGGGGCATGGTGCCTACTGATTGATTCTGTCACTGAGATCAGTTTTCTCAACGAAACACTATATATACGTGTACGCTGCTTTTTCAAGTTATTTGGACAATATTTTTGGACCTACTTTGATTCCACACACCAATGGTCCCCTCCACCCCCATATCAAATCTTCAATGAGATCTGAGAATTAACTTTCCTTGCTCTAGAAACTACTCTTTCTTAATTAGATTATTATTAAGCTACACTAGGAGATGCAAATAACATCTGTACTTGTTACCACTTCACTTTAAGCCACACGGCTAGTATCTGGGGTGCAAATGCAGATAACGGATTTACCCGTCCCCCTTCTCCTTCTTGCCATCTCCCGAGTTGTTTTGTTCTTTGCTGATTTATTTTTTTGGCATTATTCCTCAAGTTAGTTAGCATTTTATGTTGTTAATAGAACCAAATGAATTTATAATTATCACAATGGAATCATCATACTCTGAGTTTTTACATTCTCTGATGTTAAAGCATTAACCCATGCATGTTTAACTCCTGAATCCAAGTCGAAGCATTCATCAACGTCATTAATTAGTGGTATATATGTAAATCATTCTTAGATCTTATACGCTTCATCCCAAAGATGCCCAGCCCAATTCGATTGGGCGGGTTGAAGCTTAAGTGAATGAGGTTCACAAACTCGAGTTTGGGTGCACATGCAAGCTTTTTGTTTATTGTAAGTAGGTACAAAAGTAAAAGCTAAGAAACCAATTTTGCAGCCTCAAGTTTTTCTCTTGTTTTGGAAATAATAATTTCAATTATTATAAAAAATGATAATTTCCATTAACCCCACCAGTTAATACCTCGACACACTAATTATGATAGTACGCTGATGATAAAAATAATCACGTCTGGGGTGCAAAGTCCTGGTTTTAAACTTTCCCTAACGACCTGATCACTAACGATGTTGCGTCTCGATACCTAATATAATGATGATTAATATTTGATAACCCAGACTCCTAATCTTATCCAGCTAATTAATTAACTTTCTAATGATAACTTCTATAAATATAACTTTATGTAAAAAGATACATGTGAAGGACAACGCATTATGTGCGTGTGCAAGAGTGATAAGTGGTGGGGTCCAAGCAACACCATATTTGCAGTAAAGAAGCAAGTTGGAATGTTGGATGCGATTTTGATAACCTTGGCCTGGTGTGTATGTTGGCGCAAAACTTTATTAACTAGGCAGGAGGCACGTAGCTTGGAAAAGGAAAGTGCCAATTTCTTTTTCACTTCTTCGTCGTCTTGCTTTGACCCATAAAGAAAATAAAAGCATTCATAATACTGTTACACTTCGTCTCGTCTCTGACCCTAAGAGGATCTAGTGAGCTTCAATTGGTATTCAGAATATGAGGCCAATAAAATCCAATGCAAGATACGAGTTATATTTTTTTTTTATTTTGACATTTAAAAAAATGATCAGTCTCATTGTTCACTCAAGAATGAAGGCATGGGCATTTATATCACATTGCAGGTTACATGTACAGGAGGAGCTGATTAAATCAAGTGCTGCAAAATATGTACCACTACTTGAGAAGCTCAAATAATTAAATCAACTACATGCAGACAGAGATAGACATGTATTCACTTCACAGGTCTGTCTTTTTTATTTCGGTTAACGTTCTATATATATAATAATTTTAAGTATCATTTCACAATTATTTCTTTTGAAAAGTGGCACATCAATTATGTAGTCTTGACCTCAAAAGAAAGTGCTAGAGAATCAGGTTTTGCAGAGTACATTATTGCGTTGCGTGACTGTATGGCACTATATATGTGACGATTTGTGAAGAAATATATGTTGTGTTGAGATAAATGAACAGATAATCATCCAGGAATGTTAAGTTCATGTTAATTAATTAACAGAATATATATATATATATATATATCACACACACACCCACACTAGCCCCTCAACCAGGCAATGTGGTCAAGTTTGCGTTCCAACACACATATTGATGGTTCTGAGTTACAGTGCTCTCTGTTACTGTTAGAAATGAGGGTGGGTCAAGTTAATACATTGTCTGGAAGTTTGATTATTGGGGTTTTATCAAAATTAATTTATATAATTTTATATAAATAAAACGTCCTTACTGGCTATGATTGCAAGAAGACTTGATTCTAATAAAAACTGTACCCATTACTAAAATAACGCCAAAGATCATAAGAAGTGGAAAGCCAGATTCGGAAGATTATAATATAATTCATTAACATGTTTGGTTTTCCTCTGCATCATCCATATACAAATTTATGTTTGTCTTTTTCTGTGTCGACGTAGGGGTGCTTTACATTATATACTTAAGTTACAAAACGATTTAATTAATTAAAACTCTTAGCAGTGAGGAACTACTACCTAAAAATGGGAGAGAAGAGAAGCGGGCAAATTAAATAGCAGCATAAAGGTGTTACATCAAAACTTCAAAATTCAAGTTTACGTGTCATTTTCTTTTATTTATTAGTTATTGAACTCAATTTTATTTAATATTATACTTCTCATATCAGTTTAAGTTTATTTATACTTGGACAACTTATAAAACATGTGCATATAATCTGCATAAAAAACATCCAATTTCCAAATTTTGGACGATTGTATATAATCTGCATGCATGAGCATATATGGACGCGAGGCGCATAGGACTGCATATAGAGTGTCGATAGTGATTTAAAATTCGAACTTTTGGCCAAACCAAAAATCCAAACTCCCTTGATATATGCGAAATTCAAAGCAAGAATGGGCTATTCTACATTAATTATATTCCCTCTATTTAAAGATGTAAGATATTTTTAATCGAATTTTATCCTTCAATAAAGTAGTTACCTGCATTCAAATTAATTCTATCTTTTCATGTTTAACCCTATTAAACACATTATAATAAATATAAAGTTACTATCAATAAGAATATTTTTAAAAAAATACAATGATCATACCTCAAAAGATTAAAAATATCTTATATTTTTTTAATATTTAATTTTTTAAAAAATATCTTATATTTTTTAACGAAGAAAATATACAATTATTTCATACTTTAAAAATATAAAAAAGGCAATGAATTGAGGACAAATATTATGTCCACACCCTACTTCCACCTCAAAATATTTATCATTTATCATGGTTGTGTGTACAGTCTAAGAAAGTAGATAAATAGCCTAGTTTATAACAACATATTTAGTGTTACATGACAATAAAAAGAAGAGAGTGTTTGAGATGGTTTGTTTTATGATATTGCTATACATGAAGGATAAACTTGTATAAAAATAATTAATACCGATTAAGATTATAAAGTGAGAATTATTTAAAAAAAACCAGAATTTTGAATTGTTAAGTACTGGATTACTGATGGCTGCCTCGTGAACGACCATGAATAATTGCGCAGTTTATCAGCACATGATCATGTACGGATGGTTTAATCTAAACCTGCTTAATCCTATTTAACGGTTTAATCACTCTTGTGCTTGCAGTGGGATCTTTAATCCCCGATTCCTGGTCGGCCCATCAGATCAGAGGGTTAAGCAAAAACAGAGGTCAACGCCTCCTCTCGCTTTTCTTTAAGTATGACGTCATCATCCCGTACCGTCCCATCACCGTTTCGCCCCCCACTTTTTTTCCTTCATACTTTTTTTTATCTGTTTTATTTGGCATTTTCCTTCTGGCTGGGTCTCTAATAAATACTTCATTGCCTCCGACACTCACTCACTCCCTCACTCTGCACTTTCTCCCTTCTCCGTCTAGTAACTGCATCCGATCTCTGGTTAAAGTATTGCACATCAACACGCGCCATGTACCCACACTCTAAGGCTACATTCTCACGCTCCGCCACTTCCATCGATTATTTGCCGTCACCGACCGCAGCCACGGTGCCACTACTCTTTCCTTCACTTCCGTCAATGCATTCCGTCTCGCCTTCTCAGAACCACCTCATTCCAGACCGGCTCGCTGTCACTGAGTTCGACTCGCTGCTCAACTTGGAGATGAGCCGCAACAATAGTTGGAGCAGCGGTTGTAGCAGCTACGGCTGGCCCAGTTCGCTGGCGACCTACAGAACTCAACGGCCAAGCTTGATGCAGAGGAGCGTGAGCAGCCTTTCGCTTCAGAAGAATGACTATCGCCACCCTGTTTCTGCTCTATTTGCCGAGTTTCTTGACTCCGACGTCGGTCCGGTACGCAGAGTTTGCAGTACTGGTGATTTGCAGGTTAATTCTCTACTGATCACAATCTCACAAGTCTCATTTTTAATTTTCACCCGTCGTGCGTGAAAACTAACGTGCACAAAGTAATTCAGAGAAGGCACCAAACTTGTTTTACGTCTGGCCAAAGAAAGCCTTGTTTTATGTTAAATTTCACGCCCTCATTATTACCTAAGACAAACATTGTTTAATTTTCAATGATTGAATAATGCATCCACTTATTTTAGAAACTGAACAAAACAAAACTTTCATGTTGGTGGTAATTTTTAAAAAAAATATATACAAGGGGCAGTTTCTATTTTCAAAAATTATTATTTTTGTTTTTATGATAAAAAAATTTAAAAACTCATTTAGATAGGTATTTTGAATTTAATTATTTTAAAAAATATTCTCATTTTTATTTTTAAAAATAAATTAAAAATTAAAATATCTTGAAGTTATTTTCATTTTATTTTTTATTTGAAAAATACATTATATTTTTTTGTTGAAAAATATAATTAGTTTTATCAATTTCTATCATAAGCTATCATTATATTAACCGCCTGTTAGTCTATTTTTTAATTCTAAAATTATTTTTAAATTAATATAATCAAATATATTTTCATTTTGTTTTGTTTTAAAAATAAATCTAAAAACTGCATTATAAAATAGTTTTTATTCTTTAAAAAAAATAAGAACAGAAACTAAAGAGGCCAGTTGCATGTTTTGGGAATAATAATAGTGATGGATGGATTTTATTATGATCATGTTTACAGTACTTTTATATAGACATATAAAAATTATACGGTGCGTTGGAAATTATAAGTATCTCATCATATCATTTGAATTTAGTTTCTGTTTTGAAAAAAATATTGTTGTGGTTACAGATATTGAGTTTAAATATTTATATGTTTTGTTTTCTTCGTACTCATGATGAAGCGCTTTTTAATTATATTTTTGGGTGATATAAATTGGAAAATATGTGGTGGTGGGGTGTAATTGGGTGCAGAGGATAAAGGGAATGGAAGAGAGGAATCAAGGGACAGAGAGTGCATTGGCAAGGGAAAGCAGCATGATCATAGAAGGGATGAGCAGGGCATGTCGTTACAGCCCAGAGGAAAAGAAGGTGAGGATTGAGAGATATCGAAGGAAGCGAAATCTGAGGAACTTCACCAAGAAAATCAAGGCAATTATTAATTTCCTTCCTTATTTTTATTTATTATCTTTCATTGGACAAAACAAGCAGTAGCCACCAAAGATGGACAGCACTGTACTAATGGGGAATTAAATCCTTGCCCACCCTTTCTTTAATCAGATTTGGCTCATTGAACCCTCGTTAAATCTGTCATATCCAACTCTCGAGTAAAAGTTAAGAAAACAGTGAAAAACCGAGTGACTTTTTCAAATAATATTGGATTACCCGAAATTTTTCCCCTCCTCATATTCCCTGCTCCATGGTCGTCTCACTAAACGATAAAAATAACTCGATTCATTCCAAGTATAAAAGTCAGCCAACTAATTTACAGAAATTAAAGAAATTAGTTAAGTTAATTATTTGTAAAAAGATGTGTGTTGCTTTCCCCAGACTGCATCCTAATTATTTCCATTACAAATTACTCCTTTTGATAGAAACCTCTCTTTAATACGTGTAATTAACCAAAAATGATAATTTATATAGGATATTATAAAATAGATTGAAATTCTACCCTTAGAGCCAAAACAAATCCCTGAACCAATTTCTTTGTTTAGGATTGGAGTGAGTATTATTATAGTTTTGAATATATGTGAAGCAAGAACTATTCTCATAATTCACACATTTGTCTTACTCTCCAACTAAGAATCCCATTAGTGCCAAAACCTTAAAGAAAACGATCATTCAGAGCATGGAAATAATTGTTCTTTATACTGTGCTTGCTATATTATTATAATACGCCCCACACACAAGTATGTGCCTATATTACTGTATCTTGTCGTATTATTTATTCGATTATTGATGGTTAATTTAGAGTGAAAGTGAATGAGAAATTCTGTATGGGGGAATCAGTATGCTTGCAGGAAGACGCTGGCAGACAGCAGGCCACGCATCAGAGGAAGATTTGCGAGGAACGAAGAAACTGATAAGAACCCTACAGGTCCGCGGAGCCATGAAAATGGTGTTGGAGTAGAGGAAGAAGATAACGAAGAGGAGAATTGGGTTAATCTCTTTGATAATTTGGTCGCTGCAAATCTTGTTCAAGAGCCTCAAGATAGTTCTTCCTTTGGTCTCATGTTTTAGATCAATAACGTACAGCTATCAGCTTGAATTGGAATTGCGATCCTCCTTTTATGCATTAGGGTGCCAAAATTTAGAAGTACAGCACATATTAGCAAATAATGTAAAAATGTATAGTGATTGGGATGTGACCATGTGCTCTTACTAGACTTTAATCTAGCTAGGGTGAAGTTTTTTGAGTGCCCTTTTCACCTTTTTTTAGACTCTGCATCAGCAGCAATTGGTGCGTATAATTGTCTATCAAAACTGAAATAACAAGTTGTTATATTGGGGTTTCTCCATGATTATACGAAGTTATATATAAATACTTTTTGTTGAAGCATTCTTGAAAAAACCAAAAAGGTAATCAAGCATCCGGGAATGCACGAGGCTGTGGTAAAACATTAACATTGATCACTTACGGGAACTCTGAGTGCTCTAAATTTGGCTTCCACTTTTTGATCTGTCGCAGGACATAGGGATTGCACTTAGCACCTTTCAGCTGAATGGAGAAATTTTAGCTTCTTTTTTGCATGATCAAGTGGCATAAAAAATCATCAGTAGTAAAGTAATAATATCTAAATTCAAATTCGATTATCAAATTGAGTTAAGCTGAAAATCCCACACAAGGCACATATATACCTACATATATGTCTGTGTGTGAGGTAGATCTAATTTTATGTCATTTCTACAATATATATATATATATATATATATGAGTGCTTCTTTTTTACTTGCAGGAGTGTATACATATTTAAAGTTTTACAGGGTAATTACAAGTTGGACCGGCTTAATCAATCCTCACCATTGTCTTTAGCCGAAGAAGAGTAAACAAAAGAATTGCTATGCATGATCATGTCTAGAATCTGTTTGGCAAACTTATGTTGAGGAAAATGTTAAAATAAAGGCCGCTTGTTACATCTTCATGTTGGAGCTTCTTCCTTATATATATATATATATATATAATATTGCCCATTTTGGGGGTTGCTTTCCTATAGAGTTACGAATCCAATGATTAAATAAGACCGGGCTGTCTAGCTTTCATAAATGAATAAGCAAGAGTCGTACAAATTACAAGAACAAGCTGGGAAGTTGAGGAAATATAATAAGATTGACGCATTGATGATTGTTTTGAATGAATTGAAAGTTTGAGAGAGGCGTAAATAAAGGCTATGGCTTATGAGGTAACATGCAAATGTGGGGAGAGGATGGCCCTATACAAGTCTTTGTCGGCCGGCGCTGTGTTAGCCACTAGGCCTCTTTGGGTCCCTTTTTAATTCCACAAAATATCATCAATTTCAAAAGCAAAATCCAACAGTTTTCCGGAAAATAAACAAATTGTTAAAATCAAGTCACTCGGGGTATTTAGTTTGAAGTGTCGTCGAATCACGTGGTCATAATATTCAGCAGAACACCGATTGAGCAAAGATTTGGGCAGAGGCAAAATGAAAGGTATGTTGATGAGCATAGGCAGAGAAAACAAGGCCGGGATCGGAGAGAGGAGGAAGGATGAAAAAGGGCAATGATGAGAGGAGAACCTGAATTAAAGAAGAAAGAACTAAAGAAAGAGAATGAAGAAGGGCCGAAAATGGATGGCATGATTGTATGAGGCAGCTAGAAGCTAAACGCCTACGAGATTGGAAAAGGCTTCCAAAATCTAAATCTAATGTCACGCCTCCTAAAGCACCATCGTTTGCCTGGTTATTATTAATCATCACAGCTAAACTGCACATGGGAACCAATGTTAGTCAGCTTCTGCACTGGGTCCCATTTCTGCTTTAACTTCTGGATTGAGCCTTCCTTTCTCTTCTTTTTTGTTAATCCTTTTATTTTATCTTATTCTTGTTATTCTGCTCCGCATTTAGTTAATTTCTGAGAATGCCTCCATTCCCTACTCACATGTTCATGCCAAAACTTGAAGCTTATTGAAAACTATATTATTTATATTTTATGATTAGCATGCTTTATTATAAATTTTATACTAGTATTGATAAAAGAGGAATGTCCGTTGCTATTTGTGAGAGCAGTAACTGTTAAAACGTAAGTGGCAAGAAAAGTTTGTAATTTTCATATTTAGTCTCGTTCCTATATACCAACCTGCACGATAAAAGCAGTAAGTCTAGGCAATCCATCTCTGTCATGACCTTGTGCCTGTGGTGCAGGCTTGGATTTCAGACATGAAGCTTGAGTCCGCAGCAACAAGCTCCTTCCATCCTTTGAGAAAAATTTTCAAGTCGTCTCTACCAGTCGCACCAAAAGCTCCATCACAGTTTATCTCAATAGAATGTTTATCGGGGGCATCCAACCATCATGCATCACGAGCTGATCAGAGCACTTGGTCTTCCAAAATTCCTGCACTGCTGCTTTAATTTGGTGGTACTAAGTACATGAATTGGATTTAAAGCGGCGTAGTTGAAGAGTAATGCTGACCTGAGCTTCCAAATATTCCAGCAGGGGCAAGCCAAGTAAACTTTGTCATAGTCAACTCTATATCCTAACTAAAATCAATACATTAGAGAGGCGTAATCTTCAAAGTTTTCCGACAAGAATTGTATCTCCACATGTAAATTAACCTAAGGCAATCATTATTCCTTACCACATAAACAAAGAAAAAAATATTTTGACAAAGTTCAAAATGTTGTTGCATGTCGATCTCCGTGACCGTGAGAGAACACGAGGTTTCGAAACTAAAATTTTACGCGAACTGCTTGATTACAATTTTCACCACAAAATTCCCCCCCCCCCCTCCAAAAAAAAAAAGCATCACAAAATGGCATTCAGTATATCATTATTTTAGTTTGGTTTAGTTTTTTTTTTTATGATGTTTGGAAATGCGCTTCATGGTAGTGTATCCGCAAAAATACAAAAGAAGACAAAAGTTAAGCATGTTGGGCTCATCACTGGAAGCACGCAGCGACAACCCCAGAAAAAGTTAGTAATCGGGGGCAACATTTATACCAAATATAAATATCAATAATTTTTTTAAAAAATATAATTTTAAATATTAATTAAATAAGTATAAATACATGAGAATTTTAAAAATATATATTAATTTAATTCTCATCATAAATTTATTTTTGTAATAAATAAAAGATAAACAATATTTTTTAATAAGTTACAATGTACTTTTGGTTCTTGAACTACATACAAGGATTCATTTTAGCTTTTTAATTTTATAAAGTATATTTTCAGTCATTTAACCTTAATACTGATAGTTTTAAATGATTATTTTTTGAGTCAATCATTACTATTTTAAAAAATTAAATGTAATATATTAATATTTGAGAATATTTTGTTAATATTTAAAAATTTAATATAGAAATTTTTGTTAATAAAAATAACAGTATTAAAAATAAATAACTAAATTTTTTTATAAAATTAAGGAATTAAAATAAAATTTTACATAAAATTAAAAGACAAAGAGTATCAATACAAAAAAACTAAAAATAAACTCTAACTTTTAAAATATGAATGTTTAATTAATTTTAAAGAGAATGTGAGACAATTAATTCTTTGTTGGGGCAATTACAATTTTAAAAGGGGCAAGTGTAATTTTAACATAAAGGTAAGTGAAATGTTTACTTGTTTATTGGTACTTATTTAATGGGGGCAATTGCTCCTTCTATTGAGAACGCAGCTACGCCTTGCATGCACAGCAGAGTTGGGCTGAGTATAAACCCAACTCTGGCCCGAGGGTTGTCGTCATGGGCCAGTTTCAACATATCAGGGATCATTAGCCAAGTCGTGCTATTTTTTTGTGAAGCGTGACTCTGAACTATTCCACTTGGATAGCTCGGTTATGCCATAATTTAGGCCTTTGCAGTGCTTATGAAGCTGGAGAGTGGGCTATGCTGAAGAGCTTGCGTCTGGTTTAGGATTTTGGATTCAAGCGTGTAATTCTAGAGTGAGACTGCAAGAAAGAATCCTGTTGATCTAATTGATGGAACGAGATCTAATATTAAAGCTAGAGTACATGTTTAAAATTAAACGCACTAGATTCCGGAGACTGCATAAAATGACTTGTCCCATCAACAGTCATGTTCATCTGGTGTGACCTATGACTTCTTTGTTTGGTGGTCATGTTTATCGAATTATAAATGCTGAATATCATTTTTTTTAAAGAAAGATGCAGAAATCGACGTTTGGCGTTCTGCCGATGGTTTGATTGTTCTATGCATAGTGGATGCTTTTTTGACCAGCCTTCCATGATGGATGTAATATTCTCAAAGTTGCTAGATTTCACCAACTCCGTTTGTGGAAATTCACCATATTCGAAACCGAAAGAGATTATTATTTAAAAGAAAAAACGAAAACGCATGTATGGAGATGTTTGAACCCTTGCAGGCTTGAACTGACGAGGGAAAGTGACCTCAAAGATAACATTGTAATGACCGAGTTATTCAATTATGATAATCCGCCTACTATTTTATAGAGAAGTATTCTAATCCTGCCAACTCTAAAATTACATCACCTAAAAAATAAAGGACGAAGTAATTAAAAAAATCAATTATTTATTTTAATTTACCTAAATATAAATTAATTGAGACCTAGCCAATGGTCCGCAATCAATCAATTGGTTAAAAAATATGCAATTTCAATATTTTTCAATGTTAATTTTCATAAAATATGTATTATATATAAAAAAAAATTCAACATCCTCTTAAAACTTGTAAAACATTATAATAATAAAAAAAACCATACTATTGGAATCATATATAAACGATACAATTCATTTAAAAAAAAATGCAACACTTGAGACGTTAGTAGCTAATTATCAATGTTGGAAGTGAACTTAGGAAGGTATGTGTTGAATAAACGCAAAGGGCGGTTTGCCCCCATGTCTTGTCTCATCACACAACTCCCGCACTCGGGAATGAAAACATCATAACATGAAGAAATTCAAACACATAATCCACACATGTAATGCCGAATGTGAAGACAATGAGACCTCCTACACTTCCAAAATATGAACCTCACTGCCCATTCACATCTTCACCTTAAAATCGTTGCATGTCTCTATCGTTGAAACATCAACCCTCATACTCATGTCACAGTTTACAGTCTATAAAGCTCCAAGTGCCCACTCTTCTTACTCTCCTCAACCATTCACTCTACTATGCTTCCATGGCCTCTATTGGCATATCCAACGCTGTCGCTGACCCGTGCCTCCCCCTCCACCGGCCAACCTATGTGAACCTCCATAAGTGGCCGGAATCGGAGGCAGAGTTTGTGAAGATGGTGAGCTCTAGGAGCGGGAGGGACACCAATTCGCCAACTAGGGCTTCGGATAGCATCTCGTGCAGACAAATGTACTTGAGGAGCTACACATTTTCGAGAAAGGAAGAGAGTGTGAAGGACAAGACAATCAAGTATTTTAGTGTTTGTTCGAAAAATGTAACAAGTCTTAAAGGTAGGGTCAGGATTGATTTTAATATGCTTAGAAGGGTTAAGAATGTGTCTTGTGCTGCCTTCTTCTCAGTGTTTCACCGTTTGTTATCATGCTCTTCCAAGCTTGACGACGCGGATTATCATGGACAATATTTTTGATTCCTACTTTTGTTCATTATATGAAATCTCACACTCGCTCACTGTGTTTTTCGATTTTCCCCCGTATTATAGAGTTTTCTTTCCTTTAATCACATCTATTTCAAAAGGAGTTTTGTTATGTTAAAATCTCTAAATCAAAACGCATTTATTTGCGGAAACGTTAGACCATTAATTAATAGCTCTTTTGGCACTGTCAAGAATAGGCGTGTTATTTTTTGAGGTTCGTTTCGCAGCAGTATGTATGAGTATAAAGGAATGTCAAAAGATTCTGTTTATGCTAGAACCATTTGTGGGAGAATACTAACAAAACCGATATAAGGCATAAACAATGGATTTTTTGAGTCAGTAGTGAGAGTAATAACTAATTATGGACATTTGACTCCTTTGGCACAGTAACGATGAATGGACATTTAACGTTTAATACACCTTTAGACTTTCCGTTTCACGAGGCGGCAATGCACATGGCAGATCAGTATGCCACATGGGTTGCTTCTGCCGTCTGGTGTTCCGTTTTTTAAGTTTTCATTTCATTTTGATTTTTGTTTCAAATATTTAAGCACAGAATATCACATTAATTATTTAATTCTCTTTTCCCATAATTTGTGTGCGCCCAAGGTGATGGTTGAAAATTGCAACTACTACAACTCCTGTGCTTAAAGAATTCGCTATGTTTATTTTCGTGTGATGGGGAAAATAAAGTTTACATTTTTTTTTGAACAACATGAACCTTTGATACCCTTTATATAAAAAAGGCGATTCATTCAGAACGTTATTCTTTCCATTATTTTTTTTGTCAAATCATCGTTACTACCATTCCATGACTCCAAAGCGACCGATATTCCAGCCAGTAATTATTTAGTGGCAGATTACTTTATCAAAATTATTTGGTGGAAGAATTTGTGATTTGAGATCAGGATGTTCAGGACTTCACTGTTTTACCCGAATACAAAATTAATATTCGATTTTTCCGGGAAACAGCCTATACTGCCGGAGCTAGGAAATAACGTTGGGTGCTTTTTACGCAAAATTTTAAAAAATGAGGGCACTTATTTGCAATTTCCCCCCTCTCAGAATTCCATTATTAAAAATTGAGGGCATTGATAGAGACGGGAACCAACTTCCTTCATGATCGCGATCTACTAAAGGGTTCATGTGGCATTTCATGGCGTGCCCAGTTTGAATCCAGTTCCAAATCGTCTTTTCGTCTATCACTATACATACACGTGGTCATGCGCTCTTGCCTATAACAATGGATTCAGAAGTAGGATTACTTCTTATCGGTTGTAGATAAAACTGATGATATACTTCTCGAACAATGATCAACCATATGAAATGTGACATCCTCAATCGCTCTTTCAAAATTAAGCCAAAAGCAAATAAAATGTTCAAAACTAGAATGTTTATTCGCTAAATTATATTGCTATTTTCCTACTATTAGATATTGGCTGATTAAGACATTATTTACTTCTCATAGTTGAGTTGAACTCAATGCACACCAGGGCTAAGGAGTGAATATGTTTGGATGATAGTTGCCCACTTAATTAGGTGACCAACTGTGGCAGTAGTGGTGGTAGGCATTGGCACTATCTTGCCATTATCTTTACCCTCGCTTTATGCATTGAAGTATTCACACAATAAAATAGAAAACACACGCAATTATTTCTTATATTTCAAGTTTCAAATAATAAAAACATCACCTAATTCCCGTTGTGAATTCCAATTTTCTAGTACCTGCCATCAAGGGAACTCCTGGGTTAGCTTTCTGAGTTTTTTTCAGAATTCCGCAAGAACTTAGGTTGCATTGGCATATTTATAGAGGTTATTGCAAGCTCTGGGGCAGCAGGGAGAGTAATGTCCGGAAGACGGAGACAATATGATTATAAACCCTACAAAAACTTAAAAAAAAAAAAAAAGCTATACGGAAACACACCAGAACGGAAAAGTATAAAACAGAAGCTACATGGGAGGAGACAGAGATGAACAGAAAATTTAAAATAAATAAAGAACCAACAAGACACAACAAGCTGCATGGCAATTTAGAGACGCAGCCCCGCTTGACTGTCTGGAGAACTTAAAAAAGTATGGTAGATTCAGACATATAATTATACGCAAGACACCTGAGATACAAGACCACCCAGATTAACATAAACGAAAAAATCACAAGATGCTCGCTTACAGATGAAGCAAACATGTTTCGTTAAATTGGTCTATCTTTACAAATCTATGGTTGCCTCGCTCTTTTGCTGATAGCTACTGATAAGAATTCAGAAGACAAACCAATCAAAAATTGTTTAAAAAAAAAAAGGTGGAAAACAAAGGGTGGTGCAGATATGTAACGCAGAGTATAGAAGCTAGAGTCTACAAAGTCACCTCCCCTCAGACTTCACCAGCTGTGAGAAAACCCTACTCATTGAAACACCAGACAGGTCATCCACGGTTGAAGCTTCAAACTGAGCAGCAGAAACACTTGCGTCATGGTTGAAATTGTTTATCTGTGGAGAGAGTTCACCAATCATATTGGTACTGTTCTCTTCAGGATCACCTTGAACAACTGCCTCTTGAAGCTGAAGGGCATACTCCAAATTCCACAAGACATCCCCCATAGAAGGCCGATCCACGCCAAAGTCAGCCAAGCATTTTTCAGCAGTTTCTCCAAACTTCCTAAGAGAATCCGGTCTGATCTTCCCTGCAAGGGTAGGATCTATGATTTGCTCCAATTGCCCCTTTTTCTGCCATTTCATTGCCCATTCGGCCAAGTTCACCATTTCTCTAGGAAGTGATGGGTCAATTACAGGTCTTGCACAAAGAACCTCGAACAAAACTACCCCAAATGAATAAACATCTGATTTTTCTGTTAATTGTTGCCTACGGAAATACTCAGGATCGAGGTATCCAAAACTTCCTTTTACTGCAGTGCTCACGTGTGTCTGATCAATTTCAGGCCCTGTCTTTGATAGCCCAAAATCAGCAACTTTGGCCATAAGGTTCTCATCAAGCAGGATATTTGCCGACTTCACATCTCGGTGTATAACTGCTTTGGCATAGCCAGTGTGAAGGTAGTGTAGTCCTCTAGCTGCTCCAATGCAGATCTCCAGCCTTTCTTTCCAACTTAAGTTTGGGAGATCTGAACCATAGAGATGACTCTTGAGAGTTCCCTGTTCCATATACTCATAGATCAAGATCATTTCATTTTTCTCATCACAATACCCTATCAAGGACACTAGATGGCGGTGACGGAACTGAGATAGCATTTCAATTTCAGTTCGGAACTCCGCAAGCCCTTGCTGGGACCGGGGATTCCCTCTCTTAACTGCCACTTTAGTGCCATCATTCAGTTCTCCCTTGTACACTTTCCCAAAACCACCTATCCCAATAACCCAGCTCTCATCAAAATTGTTTGTAGCCTCCTGAACTGCCACGAATGGGATGCGGTACCCTAAGTTGGAAGCGGCGCTTAGTGTTGTGCCATTGGAATATTTACTTCCCATGGTATGAGAAGCTCCATCATTGATGGATAAGGGAACCCATGTCTTTGAAAGGCCTTGTCGTGCCAAACGTTTTCTTCTGCACAATACAAAGAAAAATCCAGCAAGGACCACTACACACAATGTCCCTATTACTACACCCGCTATAATGCCTACTTTCGTCTTTGAGTTTGAACCAGTACCAGTCGCAGCTGTTGCTAAACTCAGACTGCCCTTAGAATTACTCATTTTCATGATCTCCAGCCCATTTAGAATGGCATTCGGGTAATCACTGTTTAAAGTAGAAGGGCCAACACTTACACGAATGTTCTTGCTATCAGTTGGGGCCGTAATATAGTCCTTGTAAAGTGTAGCGCCCAAAACATTGTTAGTAGAGGTGCTGAGATCAAAATTTTTTTCCGCCATGTAGGAGTTGACATAGACATTGAAGTAAAGTTCGTTGAGGCCATTGCTAACTATGTCACAGAAGTGAAGTCGAACAAGATACTGAAATCCTGGATCTACGTCAAACTGCCAGGTCACATTGAAATTACTACGAGGATCACTGCTTGAGTTCATCTCTGTGAGAGTACCATAGACTGTACGTGGAGCAATGTTCTCTGTTGCCCCGCCGTCTACATACTTAACAGCAGCCATATTTGAAACATCGGTAGCAAGGTCAGGAGTGGCGAGAAAATTTTGATCCGGTACCCAGGTCCGGTGAAGGGTGTCATTTGCAGAGGAGACAGTTGGACCACCCATGTTAATCCTCCAAACTGTCTCAAATGCCAGCGTCACCAACCCAGAGAAACTTCCCGGTGCATTTATGGTGGAAGCGTCATCAGCAATGAGTTCATCAGGTACTGAAACAACTTCAATTGCATTTACGAATGCAATGGAATTGCTGGAAGGAGTAAAGGTGATTACAAGGGTGTCTGAAGTCACGTTCACAGAATATTCCTTCACAACAGGATTCTTCTGCACAGTGAAATCACTGAGAAGAATATTGTTTTGGGTTGTGACAGCAAAATTTGCTGTACTCATATCGAAGTTCTGATACACAAATGGAAAGAAATAGAGACGGATCCAATGTCTACCCTTTTGGCTGATCGAGAACGTATACTTTGACGGTCCACTGAAGATTCTTGCTGTTTGATATAGAGGTGAATCGGCAGAGGAAGAGATTGATTTTGAGGAGGTACTGGCGAGAACATCACGTTGAGTAGAAAGGAGATTCTTGTAGAACGCATCCGCCGCGAAATTGCGGCTACCGAATAAAGTATTAGAAGCTGCTCCACAGTCTATGAGGTAATTGTCTTGCGGTAGGAAGGTGGCAGAAAAGCAAAGCAACGGCAAAATGGAAAAGCAACAGAAAAAGAAGCCAATTGTTCTACGATCCATCATCTTGGCATCTAGGAATCTATGAAAAACAAGTGAGATGATCTTTTATTTCACTTCTTTGCAGCTTTGGATTCTCTACAGGCCTATGGTTCTGGAACAAGCATGAGGAGGAAAATAATGAATATCTATTTATCGATAAAACCACACAGGCATAGAACTAAAAAGGAAGAAGCAACACGCACCTTTGGCACTCTTCAGATAAGCAGCAGAATCGGAAAGAACCAAATACGAAAGCTCGGCGGCAGAAGACAAATCTGGAGTAGGAACAGCCATCAGTTAATTGTAAGAAATTGAATGAAAAATGCTGGAGGAGGAAGAACAACAGCAACAAAAGCATGTTCAACAAGAATCTAGCGAAGCACGGGTTGGTATTAACCATGTATTGACATATTCATAGATTCGCTTTTCGAATTAGAAAAGAAAAATGAAAGATAAAGAAGAGAGAGATAAAAAATCGGAGCAAACAAAATCAGAGGAGTGGGAGGAGGATTGAAATTACCATTCAGAGGGGCTAGCTGGTTTCCAGAAAAAACCGCGATGCACCCGAATCTCATCTGGGAAAGTGGGTGCAGCAATGGTAAAATAAATAAATATAAAAATAAGAGGGGACAGAAATAAATAAGCGGAGTGAATAGTAGGCGCTCCTTGTGCAAGAGATAATTTATGACAGTAAAGGAGATTCATGACTAACGTAAATATTCCCTCTTATTTTATTTATAAAATAAGCAGAAGATTTTTTTTATTTTATTTATAAATTATTTTATCAAATTTTTATTATAATTTTTTTCATTTGACCTCTATTTAATGTTGAAGAGAGAAAATGCACTGTTAAAATATATATATTTAATAAAAATAAAGTTAAGAAATTATTAAATTTTTAAATAGAGTTAATAAATTTTAAAATTTTTTTTATTTATAATAAAATATATTAAAAGTGTTGTATAAATAAGACCCAAAAAGCATATAATAAATAAAATGGTGTTCGGTTTGAATCATAGGGCTATTCTTATTTTCATGAAAATTCGAGGAATCTGTTAGACTGTAAACTGCTAAAACAGTGTAACTCTCATACAAATTCAAGTAACATAATGATAAACTATTAAACTAATATATTCATCAATTTAATAAAATATTTTTTTATAACTAGATTAATTTCAATTTGATTATAATTCAAGTATAATCTTTAAATCATTTTTAATACCTCCATCCTAAATTATAAAATTAGTTAAAACACAATTACAAATAAAACAACACTTTACAAGCTTATTTTTTTAAAATAAAATTATAAATTTTTAAAAATGCACATACAGGCTTAGGTCTAGGATTAGGAATCAGATTCAAATTTGACAGGCCACCCATTTAAGTTTATTTTTATTAGAGTTTGAGTTCAAAAAATTAGATATTTTTAAAAAAATTGAGCTTCAAAACTCAATCTTTATAAGCTCCGGAAAAAGGTCTTGTGCCTAAGCAGCCCTTGAAACCTAGTTCTTCTTTTTTTTTTGTTTGTCGCATTTCCCCCTTAGACGCACCGTTTGCTCTCTCTTGAAAACACCCTAAGTCACTCCACCGAACTCTCATTCTCACTTGTCTCACGCAACACACTAACGAATTGCTCTCTCCTCTTGGCCCACCTCCTTCTCTAGCCAGCTCCATCTCGATGAAGGATTGCTCGCGGCTCTCGTTCTCTGGCCCTCTCGATCTCGGTGACGGATGATAGTACTCGCGACGGCAAGTTGATTTAGGTGCTCATGATTCAATTCTTTGCTTTAGCGTTCAAGTACCTCTAATTATCTGTCACTAGGAGAGGAGGTGCTTTGCTCAGCCTTATGACTATGTTTGCTGCGTTTGCTTTCATGCGTAGCTACTTGAGACTTGGGCCTTGTGACCAAAGTTTTTAGCTTCGTGTTATATATTTAACAGAGGATGACGCATCAGGAAATTAAGGTCCTTCACGTGCAGTTAATTGATGATTCATCTTATACAATTGCAATATTATTTTATAACTTTTTGAAGTATGAAATCACTTGTTAAAGTTTTATGTATAATAAAATTAAATAATTTGAACATTTCATTTTTAATTGATGCTGCTAACCCCTTCAATTTATTTTGTAACATAGTTAATTTTAAACATGATTTCTAAATGATGAAAGGATTTGGATTTAGATACATGAATATTTTAATTAATTTAGACTTCTAAAATGTATGTTGTTTATTTTTTAAAAAAAAATTATGAGAATTTAGATTTGTTTTATTTTGAGTTTTGGAATGTTATAATTAATCTATAATACTTTATTTTATTTTATTTTTTTAAAATAAGGCTTAAGAGCTTGACCTTAAGCCTTTTGAATAAAAGTCAAGCCTTAAAAAAGGGGCAAAAAAGAAAAAATAGGGCTTAAGGGCTCAGACCCATAAAGGCCAAGCCTATATGGCTGAGCACACTCGTTTTTCAACTCTACTTAAATCCTATTTGTTTGATATTAAAACATATGTAATTTTTTAATAGTTTAAAATTTTTGTTAAAAATAGATTTATTTTATATATATATATATATATATTATAAAAGGAAGACATTATTTTATATTTGTATTGGTCATGATAATAAAAAAGTAATTATTAATTAGTTATTTTAAAATTTTATAATATTTTCCTTGATTTTTGTTGTATAAAAATAATTTCTTAATCTATTATTTTTAAAATTTTATGATATCTTTGCATATCCTACCTTTTTAAAACACTATTTTATATCGACCGTATTAGGTTATTTTTATAAGTTATTCTAAGGAGCTTTTTTTATTTAGAATTTTGATTATTGTTAAAAGTTTAAACAAACATCATAAAAATTTACAAAATATTTTTTTCAAAAATAGGTTATTTTTTCATGAAACAAGTTAAAATAAATGAGCTCTTAATCATTATGCTATAATATCATTTCATTTCTCTATCTATTTGAAAGGTAATGTTAGAAAAGTATTATTAATGTAATCTTAATTTTTTTTCAAACTGTCTTATATTTTGAGATAATAATTCCAAGGTTATATTATAATTTGATATGGAAGGAGTACATTTTATTTTTCATTGCCATGTGCAGAGGTGTTTAACCTTGTATTTGTTCTGGTTTGCTCAATTTCATCTTGGTCATATTAGGACGAGACTTTCTCAATCTAAGGAAAGCGAGAAGGGACTTTGCAGGAGGGAATAAAGAGGGGTTCAAGACAAAATGGGCTAAGAGATTGCCCTCAGAACTTTCTATCCTGAAATTTTTTTTCTTTTAAAAATAAGCATTAAGTATGTTGATTTTATTAATTTAATTTCAATATTTGCAATCCCTAATTAAAATTAAAAGTTTGTGATATTGACAATTTTAATGACATGGAACAAGCCATACAAGATAATATATTCTTTAACAACATATTAATTATATTAATACAATAAATTCTTATATCTTTATATTTAATAATTTTTGTTAAGATATTTGAATATCTTAACTAAAAAATAAGAGAAATGACTTGAAGTTGTGTGTTATGTCTCATAAATACTTAACTTTAAGTTGTTCATGTGTAATTGTGATTGATATAATTTAATAATTGACTTTAAATCATTGTAGTTTATTTGCTTGTGTTATCTTAGTTTTACATTTAGCAAGTTATGTGATTTAATGTTTTAATGAATGTTACTATCTATGTCTTTCTTCTATGTTGTCCACTTTACCGAAATGTCCCAGTCTCATCCTGGTCTTATTAGAATTCCTAATGAGACAACTTTCAGGATGAAATAAAACACAAGACAAATTTAGTCCTAATCATTTTTTTGGGATGGAACACAGGACAAGGATGTTATAATCTCATCACATCTTATACCCCCTTGATACAGGACATAGGACACAAGGTGTTGTAGCAATGTCAATGAGATGCGTGATCAACTCTATCGTCATACCCCCTTGACACCTTCAGCATGAAACTATGAACTATTTACTGATGAGGGTCTGTCCATATGATTAGACTATTCAGGCCTTCTATTGGTGAGAAGTTATATAGCCAAGGCTACCATACTTACTTATGATTTACAATTTTCCTCGAATCACACATTATGGGGTGATGTGCCTCTGAGCTAGCCTCATCATTAAACAAGTAAAAACTAGTTAGATTTGAGTCCTTTAGTAAACTATAAGATAATTCTTTGGAGAACAAGTGAGACAATTTATAAATGAAAAGGTAAGCCATCAAGCTTTGAATAATGATCATGCCATGTGAATTTTAAAATCGTTACTTCTCTCCTTAGATGAACTCTCACTTTATATGATCATGGAATGTAACATATGTTTAACTCCTAGCATATACAATCTCAATCATCATATTCTCGCATGCAAATTCTTAATATCATATCTATAGTACGCAATTCTCACATTATTAATATATCCCATATCAACCACCTATGCTTTTTAAATAACTTATCTGAGTACAATTATAAATCATACTTTTCTTTTGAAATATCATCATTATCGCAATTCATTTATCTTACATATTCATATAACCATGTTCATCTTTACAATCATCACTTCAAACATTCATTTCATTCTCACACATATCAAGTTTCCACACTTGCATTGAAAACAAGTTTAAAAGCTTCACATGATTTTCAAACAAGTTCATAAACATCTATAATTCATTAAACAAGTGAATGCACAAATTAAACTTTTTTCAATTATTTCAAACCTTTGAAAAGTCAAAAATTTAATCCTCAACACAAGTTGCATGTAAATGTTTGATATGGGATATATTAATGATGTGAGAATTACATACTATAAACATGATATTAAGAATTTGCATGCGAGAATACGATGATTGAGATTTTATATGTTATAAACATATGTTACATTTAATATAATTTTTGGACATAAATGTGCTTCAACAACTAAAAAATGTCCAAAACCCTTAATCATTGATTTAAATAACTTTAATAACTTTTATTAATTCTATTTAAGTCATTGAGTTCGGACTCAAAATCCTATAAGTTTGAAAATCACTTCCCCACGCAAACCATAACCTCCAAATCTATCAAAAGAGGAAGAACAAAGAAGGAGAAGGCTTAAGAAACTTACTAGGATAGATTGAAGGCTCTAAATCACTCCCAAATTTTCACAAACTCAAGATATAGCAAAGCTCTAGACGTCCTCCTCTTTCTCGCTCAACCTCTCTCTTTCTCTTTCTATCTTTTGAATTGACTTTAGCTCTTTTTCTGTAGAATTTTGGCCACAATATGTTGCATAAATTAGGCAAAAGGGTGCTCTTTATACCATTCGTTACAACCAATTTATATCACACACAACAGTGGGTGTTACACAAGTTGCAGTAGATGGTACGAAAGGGAATCCTTCATATTTTCTCCCACTGTTAGGCCTAGTTGGCCCAATTTTACCTCAAACTCGATTTTGAAGTTGTAACCACAACTAAATGAGCTCAGTAGTCCTCTCAAACAATACTCAAATTCAATCATACTTTTAAAATTATTTAATTACTTTTATTTAACTTAGTTAATTAGGGAGTTAATTCTCAGTATATTATAGATGTGCCATCTTCAACATCATC